TAGAATTTCTTTAATTTCATTTACGATGTACGTAGTAATTAATTCAATTCCAAACCGGACTTCCCATAAGTAAATTTAAATCTATAAAACAGGTTGGCTTACTGAGGCAGAAGATGGAGAAAAAAAGAGAGCATTTTGCAAATGGTGTAAAATAACATTGCGTGCACATTCTAAGGATTTGCAGAAATATGGAAAGACACAAGGACACCAAAACAAAGGAATTTCGTTTCAAACACTTCCAGGACAAACACGACTGCCATTTCCACCCGCTGAATCTGAACAGAGTAAAATAAATGATCTTAAGCTTGCAGCATTTATTGCTGTTCACTGTGCAGTGCGCGGCATTGACCATTTAACCGATATTTTGCGGAAGTTGGATAAAAACTTTGACAAATTGAAAAAGCATCGTACTAAATGTGGGAACGTGATTAGAAATGTGATAGGACCATCTCTGTTAGAAGATTTAGTAGATGACATCAGCAATTCTCCATTCTCACTAATCGTTGATAAGTCGACCAATATTTCAGTTATGAAATATCTTTGCATTTGCGTTAAATATTACAGCGAATCTCGCAAAGAAGTCACTACCTCATTTTTAGCCATAGTCGCTGTCGATAGTACGACTGCCGAAGAATTGTACGACCATACAACAATTTTCCTTAAAAGCATTAATATGAGATTGTCCAACTTAGTCGGTATAGGTACTGACGGCGCTGCGAATTTGTGCGGTAAACATAACTCGTTATATACAAAGTTGAAAAAAGACTGTCCTACCTTAGTCTTGATTCGATGTGTATGCCATTCACTTGACAATGCAAGTTCAAAAGCTGCCGACAATTTGCCAGCACATGTTGAGTTCTTATGTAAAAATGTTTACAATTGGTTTAAAAAAAGTGCTCTTCGAAATGCAAACTTTCAGCGTATTTATGAGCTTCTGAACAATGNAGTGCTCTTCGAAATGCAGACTTTCAGCGTATTTATTAGCTTCTGAACAATGGCGTGGAATCAAAAAAGCAAAAAAAAATTGTTAAACTGTGTGCTATGTGTTGGCTTAGCATGCACCATGCATTGAAACGAATCCAAGAGAACTGGTTTGAACTAAAAACATATTTTTCGCTTATTGTAGAAAAAGAGAAGTCTTATGTCGCTCGGTTATTGAAAGAAATGTTCAATGACAATTCAAATTACTTATATTTGACTATTTTAGAACCAGTTCTTCTAGAAATCAATCAAGTTAATTTGTCATTTCAAAAAGATAATACTGATGCTGGTAAATCGTTGGAAGATTTGGAAAACTTGTTTTTTTNCCTTTGTTTGTCAAAACCAGGGATACAAATATTTTGATGAAAAATGTAGATAATGATTTAGCATACTGTCTTCCTGAAGAAGCAAATTTTGGCAACCTTTATTATAAAATGAAAAGTTCATCGTTTATGATTTCCAGAGGTGAT